TTTTGGATTTAGAGTAGAGAAGACTAAGGGCACAAGTTGGCTGAATCATGCTGGGAGTTGTAGGCACAAACTTGCATAAAATTATGCTTTAAGTTACTAAGAATTGTTTAACAGTTCTGATTATTCATATAAGCAATTTGTTAAATGGGCATATAGGGGTTTTTTCCCCAAGGAGACAATGAAGAACATTACAGTGGTATACTTCCAGTGTCCTTAACTCACATAAAGCTAAGGGCAACTTCATTTATTAGAAACTACATGGATATAAACCTTCATAATGCTGTAAAAATGCTGTAGAAGTGCCATCTGTCCTTGAAGTGTGGTGCACATTTGTCTTTTATGGTAAGTACCCTTAAAAAGGTGCTCTGCAAGGCTCCCTGGCTGGTGCACGTGACACAAAAAGCCATGTGCACACTGCACATAGATCCCTATGTGATATCTGTGTAAGGCATTGTGACACATGAAGCAGGGCCCTGCACTGGGTACCATGCTGCAATATTGCTTGACAGAAAGATGACGGTTACGTATTCCATCTTGGCTAATGGGTGGGATAGAAATTTAATTAATTAATAAATACTATAAATTATGCAGGTTGATCATCTTGTTTTGGAAAGCCTTTACCATCAATCTGCCCTTTAGATTTAGCTCTGCTGCTGCCTTGAGGAGTTAGAAAAATCTACATATGTTGTTGAAAGTTGGCAAGATTTAACATTCTGGTTTTTTCAATGTCTTCTGCTTAGTAAGGGAGGCCATGTGACCCTTATACTACTGCAGTAAAGATTTGACTGTATCTCTTTTCAGTTGCATGAGCTGAATATAAACATATCAAGTACAAGATTGGACAGGGCTCATACCCACACCGAGAATGTAGATGAATTCTTTTCCTACCTGCTCTTATATTGAGGAGAAATTGTGTATTTTTAATCATGAACCTCTGTATTATGGGAACATCCTGAAATTACCCAAACCCAAAAGCTTATTTATGTTACTGGCTTACTCTGAAGCACTTGAACTATGTGCTGGACTTTACAGAAGACATGGATGTGCCCAGATGAGAAGGAAAAGTCTCTGGTTTTTTATTCACTATCTGCAATCAAACCTGGAAAATGATGTGTTGAATATGATGAACCCACTGGTAACCAGAAGAAGCCTTGCTTTTGCAAATATACACATCCAGCAGTTGTGATAGTACACTTCACATCTCCAGCTCCTCACAAGCAAAGTAGTTGAATTACGGTGAAGAATATTTTGGTTGCTCTCTGTCTGCCCATTTCCTTCAGACCTTGTCTATGGCAGTGGTTTTTGTTTGTTTGTGTTGTTTTTTTGGCGTGCTGTGTCTTGCTAACTTCTTTCTCTCTCAGTTCAAAATGTTGATTGTATTCTGCCAACTAACCAGTGTATTAATGATAAATAGATCATGATGATACTTCTATAATTGCTCAGAATTATGGTGTATTTCTGAAGGCTCACACTTTCCACTGTTGTGCATGTGTGTGTGTGTGCTATAATTACTGATTTGAGATGCTGGGTAATTTACCTCGGTTGTATTGTGTTAGAAAAGAAGGTTTGCCTAAAATACTAAGCTTGATTGTGATCTGGAGGAGGGAAACAATCCCTCAACAAATAACATTGACATGTTCTTCAGTGGAGGATGTGAAGTAAGTTTTCTAGTGCTTTGATATTTTTTCATTTAACTTCTAAAATATAGGCATTTTTGCATTGGCTGAAGGCTTTTAGGTCCCAGTGGGTGTGGGTTTTTCCTCTCAAACCCTGTGTTCCTTCCACAAATAGCAAATCAGGCTTTCTGCTTTGCTCCTGCACCCTGTTTTCCATTTTTATCTCCTGTATGTTGCAGTGGAAAGTTGAAACCCCACTTGCATCAGTGAATAGGGAATGCAGAAGGGACCATGGAAGCACTCTGCTTTGAAAATTGGAACCTGCACTGTTTCATCTGGTCAAGGTGCTGATCATTGTTATCTAAAAGCTGGCTTCTATATTCCGTTTAATGTACAGATATGTCAGCCAGCAGTACCTAGGGGTGATGCTTTTGTTGTTGCTATGGGCTGTCATGTTGTCTCCAACTTACAGTGACCCTATGTATGAAAGCTCTCCATAATACCCTATCACTAACAACCTTGTTCAGCTCTTGTAAATTCGAGCCAGTGTGGAGTCAATCCATCTCTTATTTCGTCGTCTTCCTCTTCTGCCTTTGACTTTCCCTAGCATGATTGCCTTCTCCAGTGAGTCTTGTCTGCTCATGATGTGTCCAAAGTATGACAGCCTCAGTTTTGTCATTTTTGCTTCTAGGAAATGCTCTGGCTGGATTTGATCTAGGGTCCAGTTGTTAGCCCTCCTGTCAGTCCAGAGTACTCACCAAGCTCTCCTCCAGCACCATGTTTTAAACGCATCAATTTTCTTCCAGTTAGCTTTCTTCATTGTCCAGTTTTTAGCTTTTACACAGTGATCAGGAAGACAATAGTGTGGATGATCTTGGCCTTGGTCTCCAGTCAGATATGCTTACCCTTAATGATCTTTTCTAGTTCCTTCATTGTTGCCCTTCTAAGTCCCAGTTCTTCTTCAGATTTCTTAGCTGCAGCCTCCCTTTGAATTGATGACTGAGACAGTGTATTTCAATTTCTTCACTGTTAACAATAAAGCTCTGTAATCTGTCTGTAGTCATGATTTTTGTTTTCTTACTGTTCAGCTGCAGTCCTGCTTTTGCACTTTCCTCTTCCACTTTCATCAGGAGTCGTTTCAATTCATTACTGCTTTCTGTCAGCAGTACGGTATCATCTGCATATCTTAAATTACTGATGAGTCTTCTGACAGTGTTTAATCCCTTCTCCGTTCTAGCATTTTAATCCTATGTTCTGCATGCATATTGAATAGATACAGAGATAGCATACGCCCTTGTCTGATGCCATTGCCTATGAGAAACCATTCTGTTTCTCCATATTTTATCCTAACTGTAGCTTCTTGCCCATGATACAGGTTCAGCATCTAGACAATCAAGTGCTGAGGCACACACATTTATTTCAGGAGAATCCATAGCTTCTCATGGTTCATTCAGTCAAAGGCTTTGCTGTAGTCTACAAAACACAGACTAATCTTCTTCTGAAATACTTTGATATGCTCCAGCAAACATATTTGCAATATGATCTCAAGTGTCCTTTTTGAAATCCAGCTTGAATGCCAGACATTTCTTGCTCTATATGAGTTGATATTCTTTGTTGCAACACTTTGAGCATCACTTTCCTTGAATAGGAGATCATTGCAAGGGTCCTATGGTTGCTGCATTCTTATGCGTCTCCTTTCTTAGGGATTAGAATGTTTCCAAGCTGTGGTTTTGTTTTCCCTATTTGTTGGCATATTCTTGTTAGGATGTTGACTGATTCAGTCTCTGCAGCTTAGTTCTGTTGGTATCCTGTCTAACTTCAGCTGCTTTGTTACTTCCAAGTATTTTTCAGAGCAGCTTTCACTTATATTGCAGGGTCTTCCTTATAGGATTCCTCTTTGAAGGAGCCTGTTATCCTTTCATCACTATTGCGTAGTTCTTCACTATATTCTTTCCACCTGCTCTTTATTTTCTCCTGATCAGATAGTATGTCCCCCTGTTTGTCTTTTAGCATTCCTACCCTAGGTTTTAATTTCTCTTTGATTTCTTGGATCTTCTGGGAGAGGACCTTGTTTTTCTTCTTTTGATTTTCTCCCCTCTTCTATTTGTTTGCATTGGTCACTGGTCATTGTAATCGTTCATTTTGTCTCTATGCAATAGTCACTGAAAAATTACATTCAGGCTTCTGACCCTATTTCTGTCACCTTTTGCTTTTGCTTTTTGCCTGTTCTTAGCAATTGTGAATGTTTTTCTCTCTTTTTGTTGCAGGAACTGTCTTTTTGCATTCTTCTCTAATAATGTCTCTTATTTAAGTCCACAATTGTTTGGTTCATGTTCAGTCAAGATGAGTAATACAAATCTGTTCCTTATGTGGACTTTAAATTCCTCAAGAAGGTTAAGTTGTATTTTGGCACTATATTTCGGTTTTTGAATTTCTTAAACTTAGCTTTTCATATTAAGAGTTTGTGGTTGCTGTTGCAATCAGCTCCTAGTCTTGTTTTGGTAGTGAGAATACCGTTTCTCCATCTGCTCCTTCCAATTACATAGCCAATACAGAAATCAAATCGACTGTCTGGTGATGTCCATGTACACAGTCATCGGGTCGATTGTTTGAAGTATGTATTTGTGATAAAGAGATTCTTGGCATCACAGAATTCTGTGTCATCCTCCTGCTTTATTTCTTACTCCTAGGCTAACATTTCCACTAACATTTGATTCTGCTTTGTTGCCAGCTTTTGCCTTCCAGCCACCTAGGATTATCAGTATGTCTTGTTCTGGTGTGATATCAATTTCCTCTTGGGCACTTCCATAAAAGCTGTCAATGTCTTCTTCAGCATCTGTTGGAGCACAAATTGAATGATGGATATGTTGCTAGGGTGTCCACAAATTCTGACTGAAATTAATCAATCAGATTTTGCATTATAGCCTTTTACTGCCTGTGCTACATCTTGCCTTAGTTTGAGAGCCTATCCATTTCTTCTGAGTTTTTCATTTTCAGAGTAAAACAGCTTTCTGTTTTTGTCTGATTGAAAATGGCCCATTCCAATCCACTTTCAGTCATTCACTCCATGTACTGCAATGTTCAGCCATTCTAGTTTCTGCCTTCTAGTTTCTTGAACGATATGTCTCACTTTCCTTGTTGCAAATGTATGTGTTGTGCAGCACTGGACTTTCCTTCTGGCTCTTTATTGTCAGCCACTAGACTTCCTTTTAGCTTTGATCTAATTACGTCATTAGCAACAGCTCTAGTTGAACTTGTCCTTTGCTCTTCCCCAGTAGCTTACTGAGTGCCTTCCAACCTGGGGGTCTCATCTCCTGGCATTATCTCTTGTTTAATTTTGGATTGTTCCATCACAGGGTTTACAAGGTAAGAAATATTCAGAAGTGGTTTCGCATTGCCGCCTTCTGTGCGGGACTAACCAGAGTTAGCTTGAGTGTCCTTGCCGTTGTCTGTGAAAGATTCTCCACCAGTGTTGCCTACAGCTATTGCTACTGTCCTGCAGCTGCCCTTCAGAAGTGCCTCTGCCCCCATCACCATTAGAGAAATCCATTCTCCTCTGCTGATGTGCCGGTTACTCCTGAAGAGGGCGGCTGCATCTTAGCCTGGTGTCTTTGCTTTGACCATTCCGCCTTGGGCGAGCCTGCTAGAAAGCAGCCTGATGAGGCAGGCTGACCCCCTGGCAGCGTTGCTCTCAGCTTCTCTGACACTCTCAACCCCTCACCATGTCAAGGTGTGCATCAAGGAAAGGGGGTGCTCCTTACTGTCTTTTTCTTTTGTTCTACTGCTTAATTTTAAAGGCATGTGGACATAGTTTGCTGTTGGTTCGTGATCTGTGTGCCATTCTTATAGTATCTCTACAGCTGGGGAATATTTTATTAAAGATCAAATCTTAACGTCCGTCACCTTGCTGTTATGAAAAGGTCCCTTGAGCTGGGAATATGGCCTATGTTGATACCCCATCCTGCCTGGACTGGATCTGCATCCTTACTATTGATTCCAGTTTCCCCAGCATGAGAAAACTCTGCCGCCAGCTTCCAACATCCCAAGCTACTGAACCTAAAAACAGCCTGCTGCCTCCTGGTGTGGCTTGCTTCCCCCACAGCAGCTGTTAGTGTCACCACAGCTTCCACTATGGTGCTTTTCGTGAGCAAGCCGTTTCAATGCAGGCCCAGGAATGCTGGGGGTGGGGGTGGAATGAATGTTTCTGGCAGATAGATGGTCTTTTCCCGTATGTGTGAGGTATGCCAGTCACTCAGCGTGGCAAATGCCACGGTCTCTCTCCGGCTGCCATCACTGCGAGGGAAGGTAACCACAGGAGCCATTCATCTCCAGTTATGAACCCCTTTGTGCTCCCTTCCCCTGAAAAAACAATTTATGTGAGGGGAGTGCTATGGGAAAGCAAAACCTCAATAGTACTTGGAATGTTTTGGAAATAGTACTACTTCCGACCCATCATTTCAGCCCTCTGTACGGTAAGCCTGCAATCCTTACCATGCTTATCCCCACACTGCAGATGAGGTGCTGAGGCTAAAGGGCCTGGCCTCCACAAGGCCACTTGGCACATTAGTCTTAACAGAAGTAAGAGTTGCACTCGGAATGGCTTGACTCACTCTCCTGGGCGCTATAACAATTCATAATAAACGCAGCAAGCACAGCATGAAGCATTGTGATGGACGAAGCGCTGCTATAAAGCATCATGAATGTAGCGGTGCCAACTAGATCAAAATTGGAGAGGCTTTCATTTTGGTTATGGGGCATTGTAAGGAAGCATGTTGTAATGCTTTTGGGTGATGTTTGCTGGTGAGGGTTCAGCTATTTCCGAATGTTGACTTTTGACACAAAGCTGTGGATCTACTTGCTAACGTTGATTGCTGGCTCAGAGCACCATTTCTTTCTTGGAGAGTCCCAGAGGATTAACTTTAAAGCCATGATACAGTATTAAATCAGAGGAAAGGAGACAATTAAAACTGTGTAAAAGCAGACTAATTGTTTTAGACTGGTTTTTGTCTAAACCTTTTCCAGGAAACTGAATTAGATACAGATGGGTCTCTGTAACTCCACTGTAGGAAAAAAAAAATCCTTACCAAATATTTCCCCAAGCCATTTAAGTAATGTATATTTGGTATTTGCCCATTCTGAATATACTTTCAAGAGGCTGGAGGATTTAGTAGAATTTCTGGTTAAGGCTGTAGTACTTCTGCCTCTTATAAGCTCACAAAAAGTAGAGTTGTTCTGTCATTCTCCTCTCTTCTTATAAGAGGAGCAGAAATGCCCTTGCAAGGTTCTGGGTATGAAATGGGCACCAGTTTGTGGCCTGAGAAAAGAATGGTGCCTGAGTACAAGTGTGCTTGCTAAATTCTTATTCATACAAATTGTGTTTGTTTCTCCCCTCCAATCGGCCCCTCCAATCTCACCTGCTTCAATCCGGTGACATCCCTCCACGTTCCCTACCCTCGGCATTTCTTCACAGCTCTGCTCACCGTGGACGACCTGAGCCCCTGGACCTCCACCTGGGCATGTTCCTGCCCACACTCCTCACCCAGGCAACCCAAGAACAGCAGGATCGCTTCTTCATGCCTGCTTGGAACTTGGAGATCATTGGCACGTATGCACAGACAGAGATGGGCCATGGTACAGTACCTTCAAGTCTTACTTGCAAGGGTGGTGTATCTGGGTTGGAGATGGTCCAAAGGCTGGGAGCCCTGCAGGGTGTCTGATTCACAGCCGCAAGGCTCTCACTGTATGAAAGGGAGAGTCATGGGAGCAAGTGCAGACTTCAGGTGGTACAAAGATACTTGTCAACTTCTGAATTAAACCAAATGTCACTAGGAGACGGTGCATCTTTCTGGCATGAGCTTATCACTTTGTTCAACATACCTATCAGCCTTACACATTTAAAATTACATGCATGAGCTTTCACAAAACAATCAACCTGAAGAATGATGACTAACAACCACTCTCCAGCAAGAAAGAGTATACAGAGGACAAACTGATACCAGGAGTTTATACACCTTTAATATCCAACATAATATAAAAGCCAGTGTTGTTAGCGTGCTAGACTGAAACACAGGAGATGGAGGTTCCAGTCCCTGCTCAGCCCTGAAGCTCACCTTGGGCCAGTCACTGCTCTCAACTTAATCTGCCTCATAGGTTTGTTGTTAGGAGGTGGATTCTGTAAGTCACCTTACAGAAAAAAGCCAGGATGTAAATATAATACATATGAATATCTAACAGAAGGATACCAGTCCAGATATATCTCTTAGAGACAATACCTTTTGTCTGCCTAAGGAAAATGGAAGCTTCTCTCCAATGTCTGTATATTGTAGGGAATAATAAATCCTCTAAATTGTAATATTAGTGACAAATGTGGTACATTGCAAAGCATCAGGCTTCTTATTGTTAAATTTTGGTATGCCATTTTAGCTGGGTATATTTGATGCATGCAATGGGAGGATGGACTTAAGTCAGGATGGCTTTTCTTTCTTTATGCAGAGCGTGATGATTTTGAGCACATGACATTTCAAAGTTTCTATACCTTTGTGACATTTTGGATGACTTTTGCCCTAGTTGGAACATTCCTCTTAAAGGTGGGAGGGTAAAACATCATTAAGATGCAAAGCTGGCAAGTCACTTCCACTTCCTTTTGGAGCAAACCCAAGGAACTACTTACACTAAGAATGTTCTTCACCTGCCTGGATACTCTACTTGCTTTGCCTTAACTACCTTGCCATATACTTAGTCATACTTCTGCCAGGAAACCTGGAACTTTTCCTTATGAACAGCAAGACAGTCTGACTTCTGGAGAGCAAGCCCAGTCGATGGTGATGTAATGAAGGATGTTTCAGTGGCAGAAGGCAGATCTCTTCTGTAGCTGCAGTGAAACCTTTCGGATCAATAAATGTCACCATTTCTTAGTGGAGGCATTGATCAAGCCCTCTTTCCCTTGTGATAATCTTGACTTGAGTATGTGGATGTTCTAGGCTCTGCTTCTGAGAAGCATCGGTTGGATTTCACCTTAGTCTGAGGATCTTTTTTTCACATAGAAACAGGTTTTTCCTTCCTTTTGTCAGATGTAGCATTGTATATGTCTTCCTCCATTAGCCCCAACTCAGTGGCAGGCGGTTGATAGAGGCTTTACCACCTCAAGTGGCAGCTATGATTGCAAAGAGCAGGATTCAATTTTTATTTCACAGGTATTACAGGCCTGGTTGAGTGCATCAAAGGAGACTCATGAAAAGTCAGTAGAAACCTGCATTCAGAAAATTAAATTCTGCAGGCAACCAGCCCACAAATTCCTCAGTCTAATTGGATTACCTGACATGGTAAATTGGTACATCTCTTTCCAACTGTCCTTGCAACAATTTTGACTGGGCAAATAATGAGGTGCAACTTACAAAATACTTCACAGGTTAGCACATGGTGCATTTAATCGTCTGTGGAATGTTGATAGTCCAAAGAGTGAGGCAGTGAAGAGGATCCACTCAGTTTACAAAGGCTCTTTTGCCTGCTTACCAGGAGACCATTATTTCTTGCCTCAGGCTTCTGGGTCTGAATGAAAAGTTATGCTAAATAGATAGTTGATTACAGGTATGCCCTCCCCCCCAAAAAAAGGATGTAGTCTGTAAGTTTTGTTTATAGGCTTCTCTGTCATCTGGGCTCAGAACTGAAAACATTCATTGTCTTTAAAACTTCCCAGGCAGGTGCCTTTCAATTTTATGCAAGGGGGAAACTGAGGATAAGTGTGACAGTGCCTACAGCAGAACTGCATCCAGGGCTAAATCTAGCACTTACCACAGGACAATATTGATTAAATCAAGAGTGTATTCATAATTAAAGCATACTGCTGCAGCCAAGGGCTTAGACACCTTCACTTTTAAAATGGTAAAATTTGCAGTGGTGCCTTTTGTACTAGATGGATGACTTGGCAATTTACTGTGTGCTTGGCCAAAGAGGCATCTCTCTACTGCACTTTGCAATTACTTCAAGTTCTGAAAAATTCTTAAATATATTTTAAACCGATTATTTCAAAATCAAAGGCATCGCCTTTCTGCTGCTGCTGCTGCTTTCACTAACCCTACAAAGCCAATCGATCTGTGTGCAAGGCAATTGAAAATAATGATAATCAGGGCCACATTAAACCTGTCGTGACATCTCAGACAGTAGTCTTTTTGGCAAAAGTACCTTCATTGTAGTTGCATGAAGAACCCCTTGCGGAGAACCAGATTTTGCCATTTGCCTGACTTGCGGAGGACAAGTACCTCATCTGTCAATTTTCATCACACTGTTTGGAAATTCCAGCCACAGTTGGGAAAAAGAAGATGTCCCTGGGACAAAAAAAGCAAAATGAAGATCTGCGGAGTGGAAAGCATGGAAGAGACAGTTCTTGAACATTCCACCCCGGCTGTGGAGGCTTTCACGCAACACTATCCGGATTTGTTGCAAGAGCGAATAAAAGGCCAGGTGATCAGAGGATGATTGCGATGTTCTCTGGTTCGTCTTGTCTCAGATGTGGGTTACAGCAGCCACTTTGCATCTGAGCTTTAGTGGCAAATAGCCAAGAGAACGTAGCTGGGAATGGTGTCTGTCTGTTGGCTGTAAAACCAGTAAGCTGTCAGGATGGAGGTGCCCAAAAATAGAACAAACTGATTGCAGTCTGTATGAATGCAGCAATCCAATATTTCACACTATGAGCTGCCTTTATTTGTAAAGTGTTTTCTGCTTCTTATGGTGTGAATGTACATTTGCAACAAGCTGTTTCTACCTTTTACATGGCTTGTCTCTGCATTGCCACTGTAGTTCATTGAAAAATAATCAGCTTTGTATGTCTTTGCTATAATGCATGACTGTTGAAATTAGATGTGTTACCTGCCCATAGGAACGCATCTGCGAGGATTAGAAACCACAGCCACCTACGATCCTGCAACCCAGGAATTCATCCTTAACAGTCCAACTGTGACTTCTATTAAGTGGTGGCCAGGTGGATGTAAGTGAATTTTTCAAACATCAAAGCTTAAGAAGGGATTTTTTTCAAGCCTTACTTTTTAAGATAGTAAAATGATTAACATACATGTATACATTTATACACCTTGGAGTATATAATATTTAAGTGGGTTTAAAAAGTCATACTTTCCTTAGTAGTCTAATATGCTCTATGAGAATGCTGTTTGCTATAAATGTTCTTTTTGATTCTGCAGTGCTGCTTACTTCTTTGTAAGTCTGTTCCCTTATGGCTGGAGATCGGGGTGGGAAGAAGTTCTCTTTTGATAAGCATGGTCAGATTTTCTTTATGCTTTTGAGCAGCCTTTCCCAACTTGGTGTATTGCAGGTATGCTGTACTGGAGCTCCCATCATCTTCAGAGACTGCGGGTGGTATAAATTGTAGGAATGTATGTCTGTAGGCTGTCAGATTGGGAAAAGCTTTAGGAAAACTCACTGTGGTGTGAGAAAACTTCATTACATTTTAAGAGACGTCTCATCCAAGTCTCATTAATTTAAAAATAAGTAGGGTGTTCCTTGGGTTGCATTCCCTTTGCTTAATTTGTCTCTGCTTCCTTGCAGTGGGTAAGACATCAAACCATGCCATTGTTTTGGCTCAGCTGTATACGCAGGGAAAATGCCATGGCTTGCATGCTTTCATTGTACCTATACGCCAAGTGGGGACCCATGAGCCACTGCCAGGTATGGAGCTACTGAACGGGTGGCGGGAGGTACAGGGAACGGTGCCAATGCTCTGTTAGGCATTGTCCAGCTGTGTAGTATGCTATAAGTCAATCTGCTGTGCATATTAACTACTAGTGCAAATAAAAGGGGATTTTTGTACTTTACTCAAGTGCTTTGCATGGCCTTAGCACAACCGCCTCCAAGCTGGTGCCATCCGGGACTGCTGGACTACAATGCCAGTCATGCTCTATTGGCCATAGGATAGGAATTGTTGTCCAACACATCCAGAAAGCACTACGTTGGTGGAAGTTTTTGGAAATAAAGGACTCCTGCAGAATCACAGAGTCCCCTCAAGGACTGCAAAGGCCCTTGGGGAAAACCTAACAAAAAGGGCCATCTTTCAGGAAGTACATGGACAAGATGGAAGAAAATAAGTTCCATTGAAAGCACAATATGTGTACAGACAATAGAGTGGGGGGCATGCTTTGAAAGGTCTACCTAGCATACAAATAAATCCTTTAATTCCTGCACCCAGCGTTATGATTAGCCCAAGTGGCTAGATAAGCTTAACAGGTTGGCCTGGCTTAGTCATGTGATTGGCTTAATACAGGGCTGCTGGTTTGGAAAGAAGTATATATATTCAGAGGAGAGATTATGCTCAAGCATCCTTGAGACTGCAGTGGCATTTCCCCTGGGCAGCTTCTGAGCAGGCAAGAGGGTGGACAGACACCATGACTGCATTCAGATGGCATGATCATCTGTGGGGACGTATAAGCCATGGTGGGTTAACATGCTGTCTGAACCCAGCACTGGTCCCATGGGGTGGTTTCTAATCCACTGAGGGGTGGCCTATACATCCCCTCAGTTACCCACCACTTGTGGTGACCTGCTAAACCAAAATGGTCAAGCCAGACCTTAAGAGCTCCCTGGCCAGGGCAGCCAAAAAGTGCTCCCACTAGCCAGGGGCTGCAGCTGAGGGCAGTCGGCCAAGTGCTCCAATCCAAGCAGTCCCTCTGTGCCACCAGCGGCACCCGTCAGCCGTGACGCGCCACGGGGAGCAGCGGGAAGGGGCATGTGGTGCACCACTGCTGAAGAGCAGGTCGCCTCCTGCTGTACTTCGAGGGCCCAGTATGAAGGGCCCCTTCACTTCTCAGCCCCTGCTCCAGGGTTGTTGCCTGGTGATCCAGCTGATGCCAGGACACGAGCAAGCCCACTCTCCCGGCATCAGTGGGACTGATGGGCAGGGGAGGGACTGGCAGCAGCTGCAGGGGCCAGTTTTTGGCCCTGGCCATCCCCTGCCCTTCGGTGCTCTTGCAGCCTTCCCAACAGGAAGACCGAGCCAGGGAGGAGGCAGGACAGGCTTGGAGAATATTTACCGCAAGGCACGGGTACCATTCCCAGGGGAATTAACATGTCATGTGTACTTCCACACCCTGAGTCAAAAGGGTTGGAAGTGAAATTGGGAAGATCCCCATATGCATACACAAGGACTGTGCACATGTGCTTCTTGGAGTTTAAGGGCAGTGCTGCCCGTTCGACTAAATCATTTCCATTTCTGTGCCCCCCCCCCCCCAATTCATGCTCAACAATAAAGTAGGAATGGCTCTTCATGGCCCACTTCATGTCTAACCTGTAGATCAAGGTAAAACATGGATTTCTCATAGACTATCCTCCACTCATAATTCTCAATTTGTGCAAGTCAGATTTACCATAGTTCCTAACAATACTGAGAATCCCGGAAAAACAATGGCCCTTGTGTTGTCAGCAGATGCGGTTGTGCGATATGAAAGATGCCGCTCCTCTTGTGTTTGATTAATGAATGCTGAACCTTCATGTACTGGGGAAGAGGGAGAGATCCAAAAGATTCCCGTGAAGCTTTGAGGCATTTGTGTCACCCTAACTTAGTAGCTAAGGAGGAGGAAGGGTCCTTTTGGATTGCCCCCCGTCCCCCCCGGTCGTGTTAAGAAGTGAGAAACTTCCTTCTGCTGACCCCACCACTGCATTCTGTTTGCTAGGTATCACTGTTGGTGACATTGGGCCAAAATTTGGTTATGATGAAATGGATAATGGCTACCTAAAAATGGACAACTTCCGCATTCCTCGGGAAAACATGCTAATGAAACACGCCAAGGTAATTTGTTGGGCTCTTTTTGCTGTTTGCAGTTGGTTTAGCTATACAGACAGGTTGAAAGAAGCTCTTCCAGATAGAGGCTTAGTCTGGCTACAGGTAGAAGGATGTGCTCTCCAGAAGGTAGCAGAAGCTTTCCTATTCAAATGCAACTTGTGAGACTTACAGAAAGAATGATCTATCTCCTAAGAGTAAATCCTGCTATATCTGTTATGAGGGTCTTCTTTGATTCTACCCCATTTACAATTCTTCAGGTTGGTTTCCTGGATGTTTTTTCAAGAGAATATCAAAGTTTTGTGTATTGTGCATCAGCAGGACTATTACTGGCAGTCTCTCCTTGACCTTCTAGTCAGAGAAGATTGTGCAAATGCAGCTGATAATTTGATGGGCAGGGTAGTTGTTAACTTCAGAGTTGCCTGCTCCACCTAGCACCTCCTGCTGAAAGAATGCTAATAGCATATCTGGCCTTCCTTTCATGGTTTCACTAGGCCTTTGTTTTAGCCATATGGTGATTGTCAATATGTGAAAGCCAATCTAAATGCTACTTCTGGATCATATGGCTGTTTTGTTGCCGTGACAGATATGCACTGAATTGACAGCACACATGGCCTGAAGCGGTGATAGTGGAGTTCTCTTTACTTAAATTTGGACAATACAAATGCTGTCCAACAAATAGATTAAAATAATGCTGACAAGCGAAACTAAATGTAGCTCACCGGGATTTTTGGAAGCGGTTCCAACACCTGAGCATCTGTTTGGACTTGTGTTAGTGCATCCTGTGGGAAAGCAAATTGGAGTTGTGATGAAACTGTGGAAGTACTACTAGGTGCATGAGTCTCTCAAGTCTGTCCTACTGTACTGTGGCTAGGTTGAACCAGATGGCACATACGTGAAACCCCTCAATGACAAGCTGACCTACGGCACCATGGTGTTCATCCGCTCAATTATCGTAGGAGACGCTGCTCGCTCTTTAGCCAGAGCCTGCACGATCGCCATCCGCTACAGCGCAGTGAGACACCAGTCTGAACTGAAGCCAGGGTAAGTGGTCTTCCTTTCGTACAGCTTTGATAGCTAAAACTGATCTGACCCCTTGCTCAGAACATTTCTGTGGGTAAATGTCCGTGTGTGTTTCATTGTAGGCCTTTTAAATAAATGCAGAATTTCCTTGTTGGGATGTGACTGACTTGATCAGAACCTGCTAGTGGTTCGTCCTGATCGGTTTTAAGTTCTGCTTTGGGTTCTGTGGGTCATAAAAACAGTTACAATTGGAACTTGTGGAAAGGGGACACATGTTCCTTCTTTCCCACCCAGGTGAGGGACACACAGCCTCCTGCCTTTCCGTTCTAGTTGTATAGCTGCATGCTACCACGGTTTGATCAGGGCTGCTGCCAAGGTAGAGCAAGCACCAGGGCCCAGCATCCTTGGGCATTTGTCTAGATGCATACCCTTCCAGAAGGCCCGCTCACTGCCAGTCTCCCAGAGCCTTTGGTTCTGCTGCTTTTCCTGTCATTGACTGTCCTCTGCTTTCTCTAAACAAAGGGACAAAGAAGGGAAGGCAGGAGGGGCCTCAGTTTGCTATGCTGTCCCCTCTGAGGTGTAGTGCAGGTCTAGCTTCCACATATTGCTATTGTCTTTTCTTGGTACTTCAACCCCAAATCAGTCTCTTTATATCCACATGTTGGACCAATCCATGGCAACTTTTATAAGTAGATACATACTTTTACTGTAAATTTATGCATTGTCATTGGAATGTAACTCTACCGCACTTTAAATTGTTCTCGTGTGTTTCTAAGAAGTCAAGCCATGTCAGAGGCACTAGTTTATTTCCCTCTTTTATTTGCTATCTGTTACAGGGAGCCAGAACCTCAGATCTTGGACTATCAGACTCAGCAGTACAAACTCTTTCCTCTTCTGGCAACAGCCTATGCATTCCACTTCGTAGGAGCATACATGAAAGATACCTATCACCGCATCACTGGTAACATCACTCAGGGAGACCTGAGTGAACTGCCAGAGGTAGGACTCCTGTGCTTAAAAATGGGAAGCTGTTGAATGCTGCAAAATGCACCCAAAGGAAGGACTCCTGGGTAGGGAATGAATCCGTAGAAATACATGACGTTGCTTCAGTCCAAGTAATCATTGGTGGAAAATTAAAGGGACAAAAGTCTCTTTTTCTCCTCCACAATTACAGAAGAAGCATATGGGACATGTACAAAACAATGGGGAAAGAAAAGAGAATACGTGAGCAGCATGAACTGACAATGGGAATTAGGCTTTTTTGAGACTATTTTACAACCTGTGTATTCAGAGGAGCTCATCAAACCATTACAGCTCCACTTTGCATTTATTGGTGCAGTTTTGGTTGAGCCGCTCACTCTTTTTTTTAAAAAAAGTCTAGTACTTTCTCCAATATGTGGTTTTTACTTGTGGTTTTTTCATTTTTGTTCCTGGCAGTGAACAGCAAGCACACTGTATATAAATTTATGGGGCAACATGCTGAGTACAGTTGTGGTCACCCCTCTCCAAAAGTTATAGTGCTGAAAAAGTATGGTAAAACAACTAATACAATTGGGAGCATTTCCCTATGAGGAAAAATTAAAGCATTTCAGCCTTTTTATGCAGGGAGGAAAGGCCACATGGCAGAGACTTGTAAAATTATGAATGGCTAGAGCAGAAAAAAATGTCTTAATAAAGCTTCAGGGCATTCATGTTGATTGATAGCAGGTTCCAGAAGAGTGGTAAAAAGAAGTATTGTGCATACTCAGCTTTTGGAGCTGCAGAGAACAGTGATGGCCACACTGTCTCCACTGAACTGCAGTGGCTTTAATAGACATGCCCGCTATGAGTTTATCTACTGTCTTTTATAGGGATGCAGGTGGCACAGTGGTTTAAACCGCTGTGCTGCTGGGCTGGTTGATCGAAAGGTCACCAGTTCGAATCGGCACAACGGGGTGAGTTCCCGTTGCTCCGTCCCAGCTCCTGCCAGCCTTGCAGTTCGAAAGCATGCAAGTGCAAGTAGATAAAAAGGTGCCGCTTCGGTGGGCAGGTAACAGCACTCCGTGCACTTTGGTGTTTAGCCATGCCGGCCCCATGAGCACGGAGACTGTCTGCGGACAAACGCTGGCTCCCTCGGCTGGGAAACGGAGATGAGCACCACTCCCTAGAGTCAGGCATGACTGGACTTCACATCAAGGGGAAACCTTTACCTTTACCTTTTTACTGTCTTTTAGAAATAGTTAATCAAATAGTCACAAAGTGGGATTGCTGGAATCATTGTTTGCAAAGACACATGGCCAACTAGTGATGTAAACAGAATGTTGGAGCTGATGGACTCTGGTCTGAACCAGCAATCAAATTCTCATGCTATCTCACTTTCACTTGCTGTGAGGTTTTATTTGTGAAGGAATCCAGATAGGTACCAGTACACATTTGAGTCTTGCTTTGTTCCCCTGACACCAGCAGCACCACACGTATTCTCTCCCTCTCTCTTTCTCGGAACGCTAACATTTTGAGAATTCTCCACACCTTGGAGAGATCATTTTTTAGAGATTGCCCTCCCTCTGCCACAATGCAAATTACAGGATCGGAAAGTATTAATGTTTGAATAGAACAGCTCATGAAAAACATAGCAGAAGGCTCAGAAGATGATTTGGTTGCTGACTGGTCTTTCTCCTTCAGCTGCATGCATTGTCTGCAGGATTAAAGGCTTTCACCTCCTGGATTGCCAATGCTGGCATTGAGGAATGTCGGATGGCGTGTGGTGGGCACGGCTATTCGCGCTGCAGTGGCCTGCCTGACATTTATGTCAATTTCACCCCCTCCTGCACTTACGAAGGGGAGAACACTGTCATGATGCTGCAGACTGCACGGTGAGTGATGCAGCCCTTCGCCTGCGGCCCAGCTTGATCTCTCAGTCCCCTTTCCGGGTTCTCCCATTTCTCACCTGCTGCAGGGATCAGAGATGACTATGGGTAGATCACACTCTTGTTAGAATTGCTGGAGGTGCCCGTTTAATGCCTGGCTATGTATTCAAGGACTTATTCCTGGCCTCTCTTTTTTAAGGCAAATAGTTGCACCTCCTTTTCTTATGCAGAATACTCTGCAGCACCTCATCTCAAAGGGCAAATTCAAGGAAAACAGTTTAGGAAAGAGCATGTAATCAGTGCATCACTCCATGGAGCTTTCAAGGCTGGGACAGCCAGGCAGCAAACCTGTTTTGACGGCATCCTACGATCTGAAGTACACTTGGAAGAAGATGCCCTCTTCCACAGAGGTTACTGTGAGAGACTAGCTCACATGGTAGAACATAATTCGTCCAACAAGTAGAGGCTTTCACAACTGGACAGATGACTCAAGATCTCAAGTTTCCCATAAGAAGAGTGACTGAGGTGTGGGGGTGGGGGAGAGAAAGTGGCAAGCCCTACTCAGATGTTTGAAGAACAGTTGTGTTCCTATACTGAATCCTTCCCACTGCTCTTATCTGAAATATTAACAGGATTAGTCACCTCTTGCTGTGTTAATATAGAACAAAAGTTAACTCTGTCTCTTTCCTAACAAAACCAGTGCATGTTTGGGGAAGCTGATTTTCCAGAAGTACCCTGGTTGATAGGAATCTGTCCCTTATTGAGGGCTTATCTGATGCTAGGGTTGACATCACTGTTCTTCATGGGGTTAAGTTATCTTGGACCCCTGGAGTTCTCACTTGCCATGGAAAATTTGTTTTGAATATTGAGATTGTCCCAGAATAGTTTTTACTTGGGCTGTGTGTTTATATATTTGCTTTAATCACATGTATAGCACCATTGGAAATTATTGGGATGAGAGATTATATATGGAGGAGAGATGAGATGAGAAATTATTGTGAGAGCCAGTGTGATGTAGTGGTTAAGAGTGTGGAACTGGGATGCAAGAGAACTGAGTTCTACCCCCCACTCAGCCATGGAGCCAACTGGGTGACTTTGGGCCAGTCACAGACTCTCAACCAAGCCTACCTTACAAGGTGGTTGTGGGGATAAGATTGGGAGGGAGGGAGAGGAGAATGATGTAAAATGCTTTGAGTTCCAGAAAAGACAAGAAAAGAGGTGGGATGAAGGCAGTTCTCAGTGAAACTTAAATTAAAATAAAATAAATTAAAACTCCTCAAAATAAAACACACAGTAGAAGTACCTGCATTGCCAGTTTTTAAAAGCACTGAAAAACTTCCAGCTTGCAATTAAAAATCCTAGAAAAGGCCCTTTTCTTTCTAGTCACCTGCCTCATAAAAGTTACAATTGAAACCTCTGCCATTTCCATCATTGCCAACCCAGCAGTGGAACCTGTCCTGAAAACTTGCGCATATTTACTCAGAGAAAAGTGTCCTTGTGTGCAGTGAGACTTATTCTTTAGCATATGCTTGGCATTGCAGCCTTGATCTGGACACATGCCCTGGACAAGTTGATTTTGCGATTGTTGCATGGCCTTGTCCAGATAAAAGTATCCTTTCCCTTACAGCCAGGTGTACAACCCTTTTGGCCCAAGGGCTGCGTGGAGAGCCTGTAAAGGTGGCGGAAGCTGCCCGTGAGGGCTCAGCCACACATGCCCATTCACATTCACGTGCAACACACCATTCTCACTTGCAGGCTCGCCCACCCTTCCCACCCACCCGTCACTCGCCACTCAGTCATGGGCCAAGAGTGTTTCAGAGCCTGGCATCTCCTCTAATCAGATAAAATCAACACTTCCCCACAACAGTTGCAGTTCTCCAACCTCCCAGCTGATCTCAGAGCCTTTCATCAGCTTCCTTGCTGAAGGACCCACCCCACCCTGCCTTGTTTACCAGGATCTTTTCCAAAAGTACAGTGCTCTAGGAAATGAAAGCACTGCTTACTCGGACACTGAGGATGTGTTAAGAAATGAGGTTTCTGTGACAGGAACCATACATATCACCTGTTCCTAGAGCAGTTCCCCCCCACCTTGGATGCTCTGCATCAGACAGGGCTTGCAGAGTGTGTGTGTGTGTGTGCATGCGCACTCCTTGCACCCCTTTCCTCGAAGGATCCGTTTCATAGCTTGGGTGTCTTCTCAGCTGACAGCTGTGACAGAGTCCACTTGTACATCTTCAGCAGGTGCAACGCCCCTTCCTGGAGAAGGCAGGTGCGGCCACTATGACACATGCAGTGGTCACGTAATAGTGAATTAAAGCACACTTCCTGTTGGCCGCTCTTTGAAGAATGTTCAGCGATTGCGGCTGCTGCAGAGTGCGGGGCTCTCAGTGCTTTGAGGGACAGAGTCTTCAGAACGCAGCAGCTCTGACTGTTTCTGAGCATAATTCAAAGGGTTACTTGTCACCAGCAACGCCATAAATAGTGACAGTAGGGCTGAAGTACCACCATAGTATAATGTGGTCTGCTCTCTGAGGGCTTTGGCAGAGGCTCTGCTCCTCATTCCACCTCCAGCATGTTTGCTCAATAGAAATGTGGGACAGGCCTTCAGGGGCTGCAGTGCCCAGACTGTAGAACTTCTCCCAGGAGGACCCGCCAACCCTTTCTTGGCCAGTCCTTTGGCACTTCATGGACACTGTTTCGGAGATTTCTAAAATTTGTACATGTATTTCAGATGAGTTAAGCTATCCCTTCTGGTTTGTGTTTGATATTGATGATATTGGTTTTGTTTTTATATTTCTCTTATTTCATCACTGCTATTAGTGCTTCCTGCTGTTGCCCCAAAAGCTCCAAGTTCAAAGAAAGATGGATACACTGAATTCTCTTCCAGAACAGTCTTCTGGAAAGTGCATCTTTTGACATAGTCTGGCCCTTGACCCAAGTTACAGTGATGAAAAGCGCATTTCCTCCTTTCATTGCTTTTACTCTGGATACACCTTATCCAGTTCATGGCATGGCTGCTGATTGACATCATAAGCTAATTTGCTCCCAGGTCGACCTGTGAACAGCCAAGTGATGTGACATGATGTAATTCTTTCTCTCATGCAGATTCCTTGTGAAAAGCTACACTCAAGTGAGCGCAGGTCAGTTAGTTAGTGGCATGATGTCCTACCTGAATGACCTTCCAGAGCAACGTATTCAGCCCCAGCAGGTGGCCGCCAGACCCACCACAGTGCATATTAACAATCCTTCCAGCTTGGTAGAGGCATACAAGCTGAGAGCTTCTAGGTAAGTTCATATATAAATCATATAACACGTGCCGTCATAACTGTGATGTCATCTTGAATCAAGGAATGGCGTGTGACTATCCTTAATTTTTTGTTCAGTCTGTCTACTTTAGCACACTTAGTTTGAAAATGTCGGAGCTGGGGATTTGAAATGGAGTGGCTCTCGGTCATCTTTGCTGTTGCCCCCCTAACATAAAAAATACTACAGTCGGGATTAGCAGGATTAGAACCCAGCTTCACCTGGTGGAGGCAGGTGACAATCTAAAAGCTGGGAAGACATACAAGGTGCAGCAGTGCTGCAAAGGGAGATGGTCCCAGGTGGGATTTCAGGGGAAATGGTAATTTGGGAATCTAGGAACAAACAGGGAGAAGGAACATGGTCATGACGGGCTTGTGCAAGCACTGATAGAATAACCAGGCCATTCAACAGCTGAGGGTCTGTCACAGTGGAGCAGGTGGAGGCAGCAGTGGATAAAAATCGGCAGGGAAGGCTTCCCTGCTCCTTTTGGGAAGCGAGTGTCTGGAAAGGGATGATTTGGGAGAAGATCAACATTCTTCTCCCATAAATGTGCCAGGGAAGAGCAACTCTGGCAAGAAAAATTCAAAACCCCACCCCTTCCCAAAAGATAGAGGCAGGATGGAAATCTCATCTTCTCTTGAAAGAGAAGGTTAAAGCTACCAGAGTAGTGGTAACCTTCTTGTTTCGTAGCAGCAGGGTGAGGTTCCTCTCAGTGTTTACCACTCCCTTGAAGCACAGCCTGGAAGAAATTAGTGTCATAGCATGGGTCAAGTTTCAGTCACAAGCAATATGGTTTATGGCCTCACCTAATTACTTGAAGCTTTGTAGCTGGGTTTCAAGGAAAATAATATTTATTTATTTATTTATTCGTTTAGGGGACTTCTATGCCGCCCCATTTGCTGAAGCCTCGGGGCAGCTCACAATCATAAATAAATAACATAATATAAAACAATATAATTTAACAGTATAAATTAAGTCACCCTGGCCAAATAATAAAATAAATAAATAATATTAACAGTTAAAATAACATTTGAATAAAAAGGTCTTCGCCTGGCGCCGAAAAACAAATAACGATGGCGCCAGGCGGACCTCTCTGGGGAGCGCATTCCATAGATTGGGTGCCACCGCAGAGAAA